ATTATCAGAGCGTGCCAGTGGACTTCTGGTAAGTAGGCTTCTCAACTGAATGCATTTATTTTCTTTGAAGTGGTTGGGCAAAGGCTGAAATTGGGGTTGAGAGTTACCCTTTAAAACCGCAAAATTCTCTCAGCTCCATGGCAAAATGTGCAGGAAATTAGATTTAAAACAGCTAATGTTGCTCTCCCCTGCCAAGATGGGGGCTCTAAAATGTTATTGCCAAGGTCCCAGACCGAATTCAGCTGCACTGACAGGCCGACCACACCCATTGCCATACCCAACACCTAAGACCCTTTTTGATCCAGAAAAAATCATGGTTTACATACTACAAATTCAATTTTCCTTCATTTTTTATTAACAGTGACGAGCAACTTTGATGGGGGTGGGGGCCACAAAAAAACTGAAATCATGAGGGGCCGCAGTTGCCCGTGGGCCTGCGTGCCCACATCCATGTTTTACAGCGAATTTCCTGCAATTCTACACATTTTGCTATAGAGTGGAAAGAAATGTTTGCAGTTTTTAATATGATATCTGAGTGAGACTGACTAACAAAATCAATGTGGACCCCCCCGGCCGGTAATTCGACCATGATAACAAGTTCTAAATAGCTGGCCGCTAAACTAGTTTAGCAATCTAAAAAATTTACGCTGACATGGGCTGATTGACTGACTATCAGTGACTGACAAAACAAGAGAAAAACTGCTGATGCACAAACAAATTTCTAAATTGCACCTTGTGGTGGCTAAAAATAAATATCTCTCATGGTGGCTAAAAATAGGTATCTGAAATAAAATAAAATGTGTGTAACATCAGTTCAAACATGACCAAAATTAGTGGGTTGTACACCAGCTTGACACTACATTTTACCAACACCGTCTGTGTACATTTTGACTATATGATTGAGTTCAGGTTCAAGACAAATGTGCAGTTTTTGTTTTGCTATAAACATAAATAGATTACACTTCTCATCAGCACAGATTTTTCTTGAATATTGATGAAACGTGTTGAAATTTGACAAAATAAGCAGGGTAAACTATGTTTCCAAAAGCATCCTTATATTTGCTTTTACAGAGCCTTCAGAAAGTATTCACACCCCTTGACTTTTTCCACATTTTGTTGTGTTACAGCCTGAATTTAAAATGGATTAAATTTAGATTTTTTGTTACTGGCCTACACACCAAATGTACAAATGTATTAAAAATGAAAAGCTGAAATGTCTTGAGTCAATAAGTATTCAACTCCTTTGTCATGGCAAACCTAAATAAGTTCAGAAGTAAACATGTGCTTAACAAGTCACACAATAAGTTGCATGGACTCACTCTGTGAAAAATAATAGTGTTTAACATGATTTTTGAATCACTACCTCATCTCTGTACCCCACACATACAATTATCTGTAAGGTCCCTCAGTCGAGCAGTGAATTTCAAACACAGATTCAACTACAAAGACCAGGGAAGTTTTCCAATTCCTCGCAAAGAAGGGCACCTATTGGTAGATAAGCAGACATTGAATATCCCTTTGAGCATGGTGAAGTTATTAATTACACTTTGGATGGTGTATCAATACAACCAGTCACTACAAAAATACAGGCGTCCTTCCTAACTCAGTTGCCGGAGAGGAAGGAAACCGCTCAGGGATTTTATCAATGGTGACAGAGTTTAATGGCTGTGATAGGCGAAAACTGAGGATGGATCAACAACATTGTAGTTACTCCACAATACTAACCTAATTGACAGAGTGAAAAGAAGGAAGCCTGTACAGAATAAATTTTTTTCCAAAACATGCATCCTGTTTGCAACAAGCCACTAAAGTAATACTGCAAAAAAATGTGGCAAAGCAATTCACTTTTAGTCATGAATACATTTTACATTTACATTTTAGTCATTTAGCAGACGCTCTTATCCAGAGCGACTTACAGTTAGTGACTGCATACATTTTTATTTTCATACTGGTCCCCCATGGGAAACAAACCCACAACCCTGGCGTTGCAAACGCCATGCTCTACCAACTGAGCTAAACGGGAATACAAAGTCTTATTTTTGGGCCAATACCAATACAACACATTACTGAGTACCATTCTCCATATTTTCAAGCATAGTGCTGGCGTCATCATGTTATGTATGCTTGTAATCGTTAAGGACTGGGGGAGTTTTTCAGGAAAAAAATTAATGGAATAGAGCTAAGCACAGGCAAAATCCTAGAGGAAAATCTGGTTCAGTCTGCCTTCCAACAGACACTGGGAGATGAATTCACCTTTCAGCAGGACATTAACCTACAGCTGTTTTTTACCAAGAAGACAGTGAATGTTCCTGCCGAGTTACAGTTTTGACTTAAATCTACTTGAAAATCTATGGCAAGACCTGAAAATGGTTGTCTAGCAATGATCAGCAACCAATTTGACAGAGCTTGAAGAATTTTGAATATAATAGAAGTATTGACTCAGGGGTGTGAATGGTTATGTAAATTAGATATTTATGTATTTCATTTAAAATAAATTAGCAAAAATGTTATTTTTAAAAACGTTTTCATTATGGGTGATTGTTTGTAGATGGGTGAGAGAAAAAAAAATGATTTACTCCATTTTATATTCAGGCTGTAACACAACAAATTGTGGAAAAAGTCAAGGGGTATGAATTCTTTCTGTAGTGAGTATTGCAACGGAGGACAGATGATTTTTACGCGTTACATGCTTCAGCACTCGGCGGTCCTGTTCTGTAAGACCTTGTGTGGTCTACCACTTTGCGGCTGAGCCGTTGTTCCTTCTAGACCTTTCCACTTCACAATAACAGCACTTACAGTTGACCGGGGCAGCTCTAGCAGGGCATAAACTTGACGAACTGACTTATTGGAAAGGTGGCATCCTATGACGGTGCCACGTTGAAAGTCAATGAGCTCTTCAGTAAGGCCATTCTACTTCTAATGTTTGTCTATGGAGATTGCATGGCTGTGTGTTTGATTTTATACACCTGTCAGCAACGGGTGTGGCTGAAATAGCCGAAGCCACTTATTTGAAGGGGTGTCCACATACTTTTGTATATATAGTGTACGTGAATGTGTTTTGCTGATTGTGCACTGATTATGCCTATGCAACAAGCCAATAGTCCCTGCCATGTTTTAGATCATGTGTGTTCGAATTTTTCTTTTTTATTTTGTTATAGTTTAACGATCTAAGGATAAAATATATATATTTTTCAGACATAATTATTTTATTCCCTATCTTATTAAAGTAATTCCATTATATTTTTTACATTGTGAAAATAACCAATAAGCACATTTCCAACAATGGATTAAAGTTTAGGCTCAATAAATGTTGGCTGACTCTTGGCACTTGATAAAAGGGCAAAACTTATCCTTGACAGGTTGCCCCTCATTAAAGCGGGCTCTGCAGCAGTTACCGGTTAGCAACGAGTGAACCTTTACCTTGTATTCTACATAGGCCTACTGAGCCAAACTGTTATATGTAGGTTCATATCTAATGATAGAATTAGTGCACGCATGTAAACATCACTGTCAAGTTGCGCCGCTTTAGTTCCTTTTTTTCTTCACACTTGCCGCGAGAGATGACAGAGGGACGTTCTGGGCTATTTTATTGTTCCTGATACTATCATGTTGACAACATAATTAATAGAATGACAAAAGATAGGTAAATCAATAGAAAACAGTAAGTGATTGTATGCCATTCAAAAACTAGACCTTACACATGCGATTAAGTGTCACCTTGATGTGCAAGAAAGGCTTTGCTAGTGCTTGAGTTGCTTTCATACTTTAACTGGCGCCAAGGTGAGATTTACAGACACTGTCTTTCAAATAGCTGTCAAACTGCTGAGATGTGATTAAGAAACTGTTTTGCATAGGGGGCAGTTAATTCACCAGGATCAGATATTTATATCGTTCATTCGATTGAGTTAGAATTGGCCGTTCTGATGGGAATTTGATCCTTTATAATAAACCAAGGAGGCCTACAGGTCTACCCTATCTGGAAAATATTTCCATTAGTGAATATTACAGTTATAACGTTTATTATTGATGGTTAATTATGGTCTATTGTTGATTATAAAATGCTGGATAACGAACCATAAGCTAGTGTGCAACATGGTTGAAAACGCATGTGTCATTCTATATTATTGTGTTAGTCCAATTAAGATCAACAATCCACCTGCCATGTTGTCCATGTCTATACGCTTTTTAATTAGCCCATGGCTGAGGTTTATAAATTGACCGTCAACGTTTTTAATTCAATGAAGTCTTTACATTGATTATGCCAGTATTTGGCCAATTTCCATTGTAGGCATGTGTTGTCAACATAAAAAAACAAATAACCTATCTCTCTGCATCTACTCAAATGAGAGTGAAATAGAAATAGCCCTAGGCCTAGTACTACTTGTGTTTGGTATCTGATCCTTTGGAGTTAGCGGGCTATAAGCCTATTGTCACCAAGTGACCGCTCAAACCCCAAAATACTGCTTGTCTCAGGGCCCATGCACCAACTTCATTAGGTGTCTATTATGAATGCTTCTAAAATGTTGTGCTGTTTTGTGGATCAAACAGTTTTGGTAGCCTAATCTAAATCAATCATATAAAGAATGGCCAATTACGTATACTTCTAGACCACCTAATTGATTTGCTTTGATTTATATTGCAAAAAAATGTTTTATTAAAAGTATGTGATTAATCAATGTTATTTCCACTATGAGTTTATAGAACTAAACGTCTTCTGCAAAAATAGTTCTAAATGCCATTAGGTTCTATTTGAATTATTCAGTAATGTCATTCTGGACCTTCTGTTTCAAAATCAGTTATTTATTAGGTTACCTAAATTGAGCGGCGCACTGTGCGCAAATTATTGTTTATCAAATCGTTTGAGTGACATTATATTAGTGGCTGAAGGAGTGCATTCACAAAACATATGTTAATTAACTTCATGAGTCTTTCCCGCACGCTCGAGTGACATCGTAGGTATTCAAGACCAATCAGAGCGCGCGCTGATGGAAGGCAGTGGGGTTTGAGGCACACCGGATCTACATGGGTGTCTGGAGGATATTGTGAGGTTTACCAATGATGTAAAGAAGGATTGCCTTTTATTTCGTTATTTTTGTTTTGTTTCACAGAGCTCTGTATATACATTTTATTCGCTTGGAGTACCTTTTTTATACAGGCAATGTTATTGACTTGATGGTGGATCCAGTTAAACTTTTCCTCGCTATCCGACATTGCTCAATGCATCCTTTTTTAGACCGACGATTTTATGGACTTCTGTATTAGCTAATGATGTCTATGGGTTTCATGCCTGATAGTTTGAATGCTTCAGACCCCTCCAAATCGGCCTTTTTCGAGTTTGGGCACGGGCACCCTGCGCACCAGCAACATTCCCAAGGACTCTCTCACATCTACCCTGTTAATGGCTTACAATCTGCCGGACACTCTCAACACTGTCTTCCCTTCTCCCGCAGCGCTTCCTCCTATGGCCGCTCCCTGGGCTACGCCTACCCCAGAGCGGTGAACACTCATCAACCAAGTGCCTACATGTCCTACCAGCACAACAATCACAGTTTGGCGCACTCCAGATTAGAGGAGACAGGTACGTGTAATATCAATATCTGGCTGTTCCTCACAGCTCTAAGCCTATCATACTATTTTTTTTAAAGTGTGCAATGGGCAAATTGAGCATAAAAGGATTATGGATTGTATGGAACTGTGCTTTAAAATGTAGGCCTATTGCAATTGTAGGCTATATATTATCAGATGTAGGCTGCATTATCAGACAGTTCTTTGTAGGCTACGGTGGGCCTATACCTCAGATGTACATGCATAATAGCTGTGAGTCTGTACATCTTTGTTGATTTTTAAAAAATGGCAAAAGATTGTCCTAATCAAATTTGGGCTTAAAGGCAATACATTCAAAAGCAATTTACAGTCAGTGCTACGGTAATCAAAATGTTTTCCAACTTGGAATGCATGTCAGGCATTTTGGGGTTATCTTTACTACTCATGTTCCATAATGAACACAGATGGTGTCATTCATTTTATTAACCATAATTTTCTGTGGGTTAGCGCGATTATGCAAGAGTACCTCAGAAACAGTCGTTTACTCCAATTATTAGTCCAGATTAACAAAACAATTTCAGAAAATAAGAACCATGTCATCCATGCACAGCACTATGGGTGTGTCTATTTATTGTGGCATTTTCATAGGAGATAGCCTGACATTTGGACATGCAGCCTGAATTCCAGGCCGTGAATTTCAAGTAGCCTAGAACTCTCAAAATGAATAAGTGCCGCGCATAGGCTTTGAACAAAAGAAGAATAGCCTATATTATGAAATTGAATAGGTCTGAAACCACATACCTGTTGTGCAGGTGGGCTTTTATATCTTACATAGATACTAGGCCTTCTCGTGAATTTGTTTCGTAGGCTATAGGCAATGGGTTTTGCTTACATTTAAAATGGACCATTTCAGACTAGACTATATAAACAATTAACTTCAGAGTCCCTGGGATATAAAAATCCGTCTTCCTCACTTGAGTCCTCATGATATGTTTGAAATAGCCTAGGATCTCATTTTACGATAATACGAGTTGCCTATCCAAGTTCAAGCATGCGATATCAACTCTCATGTAGGCCTAAATCGTATATTATCTTCTGCCCTGATGTAAAGTGGAAAGTTGTAAATCAAAGTGAATGTAGGCTACGACAGATTAGGCTACACCAGATTAGGCTACTGTTCAGCGCAGTTTGACTGAAATTCTCTATTCTATCCACAGACCATGAGAAGTCTACAGTGATTGAGAACGGGGAAATTCGTCTGAATGGTAAAGGAAAGAAAATACGTAAACCTCGGACCATCTACTCCAGTCTTCAACTACAGGCGCTTCAGCAGAGGTTTCAGCAGACCCAGTACCTGGCCTTACCCGAGCGCGCGGATTTGGCAGCAAAATTAGGGCTGACCCAAACACAGGTGGGCTAAATTAAATTGGACATAATAGCCATCAACAGTAGGAAATGTGATTTTAAAACTATATCTGATTTCAAACTATATCTAATTACCAAATTATAGTAAATTATTTGCGCAGTGTTTTATTTCTGTGTTATATAGTCAGCCTAATTTACATTAGATTAAGTAGGCCTAAGAAACCAAATAGTTTATAACAATTCGAGTGGAGTGCAGACAAGTTACATAGGTACAAAACACCTCATTAATGGTTTTAAATATACATTGTATTTATTTCACTTTTTCCCTATTAATTTCAATCTTGTAATATCAAATTAGGTCAAATTTGCTTCAAGTATAATTAAAGATCCAAAGGCCTCACATACCTTACTGCGAGACTGGACTATTTGTGAATTTGTGCACAGATCAAATTACTAGTCTTGTTGACAGAAGTGACAGAGAATTAAATATTATGCAAAGCTGTTTGTGGTTGATTGAAGAAAAACACAAAACAACCTTCCCCCTTGGTTGTATGGGGAGGGTTTACATAGATCACAGATCTGTGGGTATTATTGTGGCTTTCTGCACTGCTCAAGACCAAATGAAAAGGCTAATTGAGAGCTTTGTTAAGTCAATTTCTTAATGCAGCTTTATTCTCAGTCTTATTGTCCATTGTGGCTAAAACATTCTCTGAGAGCTCTCTGTGACTTAAAGCAAACATAGCTCAATTGCAATATTGCAAGTACAAATTGGACAGAAATACATGCTGCCACTCTAATGTATGGGCCTATGTGTTGTCTTTATAAACAACAGTGCCTAATTACCAACAATCTTTTGGTCAAAGTAATGTTAAAGCAGACTTATACATTACCGCAGAAATGGGCATAGAACAATACAATGAAGGCTGTGGGCACAGGCACGCACACACACACACACACACACACACACACACACACACACACACACACACACACACACACACACACAAGTTTACAGATTATAACTGGAAAAAAATTGGACAAGTAGGCCATCCTAAGTCTTTGTTGGCATTATTCATTTATGTCAGGTAAAATTATGAAATCTAAGGGTGAAATAGAGATTATGGCAACAATTTCCCTTGGATCTGTAAACATAATGGAAAGCACTTAAACAGGTGGTGAGCATAATGTTTGGGGCTAACATCTCACCATGCACATCTGTCTTTTATGGAATACATTTTCAAGCCTTTAAACATTGTTTTTCTCAATATAGTTTAGTTATATTGTATATGCAGCACTTCTATTCAAGATCTAAAATCAATAACATTAATATGTTTTTAAATGATAGGCAATCCCTGGTTAACTGAGTTAAATTGTCATTTAAAACACTCCCTGGCAAAATCTCTGAAGCACACCATCCTATCTGAGTCTGATTTGGCTTTGTGTCCTGTTGCAATGTATGAGAACGGTTTGACCATGACCACGTCGGGCTCTGTGGCTTTTTATGAATATTTTATTCAGTCCTAAAATCGATCAGAATAGCATCTTGTTCTGACTAAGCAGAATACATCATACATAGAAATGTATCTGACTTCCCCTCCTTGTTTACAGTGTTATATTCAAGCTCGCCGGGGCTATTTTATTTTACTATATTTTTAGCATGGGATTGTTGTTGTCAGACTCATGCATCATTGGCCTCATAAAATGTTGAACAATGGGGGAACTAGCATTTAATGAACTAGTGAAGTGTCGCTCATCCATTTTGCTTAATTGCAAAAGGCCTAATGGTTCTGGATCCATGCACTGACTGGCAAAGTCAAAGAAATGTGTTAAAATTACAAGAAGTTTAAGAACGAATGCCATTTTCCGGGCCATTTTCCTTTAAACGTATAAAATTGTCCCAATTTTCAATGTAATTTCGAAATTATAAATGTGAATATGACAAGCCATTACGAGCTTGCAAGCCATTACGAATGTAAATCATTTCTATTGTGTGGGAGATAATTGTTTAATGATTGTGGTGGTGGTGGAGAGAGGAATGTGATCGCATACTCTGTAATGTGTTGCTTTCCCCTCATATTTTCCCTTTCTAAACATCTATTTTATCTTTTTAGATTAAAATATGGTTTCAAAACAAGCGCTCAAAATATAAGAAGATAATGAAGCATGGCAGCAGACCTGAGGGGGAACATCTCCACAGTACGTCTATTTCTCCCTGTTCACCCGGGATGCCCCAACATTGGGAGGTGTCAATGGCAAACAAAGGGACCCCTATGCACCCCAACAATTACATGAACAATTTTGGTCACTGGTACCCAAACCATCTCCAGGATCCTATGTCCAGACCTCAAATGATGTGAGCGGACCATCTCAACACACTGCAGGGTGCTGTAAAACTCACCCGGCCATTTCAAACTTTTCAAGGGCCTTAAGGCTATAGCTGCCTACCCCACACCCGAACGCGTTTCATCTAGCTTATCAAGTTTGAATTGTGTGTAAACGTGTGTTAAATGTAAATTGTGTATTTTTTCTTTCATTGCAATGTAGCCTATGTTTTTGGATGACGATTTGTATGTATGGTTAGCTTATGTCTTGTGTCCACTTTACGCAATGTTCTTTAGTTTGGAACGGCTTTGGTGAGAATTGTGCTGGCAGGTGGCAACATGCTTATGGTTTGATTCCAGCAAGGTACATGCACCTGAATATGTGTGTCAATTCGTTATGACCGTTTTATTGATGTGATTAACAGGAGTGTCCCAGACAGTCCATGTTTGGATAGCCTCGTCTCAGCAAATATGAATTTATTGTGCAAATACATGTCAGAATTGTTTGATATAATCTGATGGATTTCAGCATCAATTATTGTGAAGGTGTCAATAGTTTTTGATAATTTTAAAGTGATTTGTTTGACATACAGTGCCTTCAGAAAGTATTCACACCCCTTTACTTTTTCCACATTTTGTTGTGTTACAGCCTGAATTTAAAATGGATTAAATTGGGATTTTTTGTAACTGGCCTACACACAATACCCCATAATGTCAAAGTGGAATTTTGTTTGTAGAAACATTCAGAAATTAATTAAACATTTAAAGCTGAAATGGCTTGACTCAATAAGTATTCAACTCCTTTGTTATGGTAAGCCTAAATAAGTTCAGGAGTAAAAATGTGCATAACAAATTGCATAATAAGTTGCAGGGACACATTCTGTGCTAAATAATAGTGGTTAACATGATTTATGAATAACTACCCCATCTCTGTACCCCAAACATACAATTATCTGTAAGGTCCCTTAATCGAGTAGTGAATTTCAAGCACAGATTCAACCACAAAGACCAGGGAGGTTATTCAATGCCTCGCAAAGAAGGACACCTATTGGTAGATTGGCAAACAAATAAATAATCAGACGCTAAATATCAATTTGAGCATGTTGAAGTTATTAATTAGGCTTTGGATGGTGTATCAATACACCCACTCACTACAAAGATACAGGCGTCCTTCCTAACTCAGTTGCCGGAGAGGAAGGAAACCGCTCAGGGATTTCACCATGAGGCCAATGGTGACTTTAAAGCAGTTACAGAGTTTAATGGCTGTGATAGAAAATAACATTGTAGTTACTCCATAATACTAACCTAACTGACAGAGTGAAAAGAAGGAAGTTTGTACAGAATAAAAATATTCCAAAACATGCATCCTATTTGCAATAAGGCACTAAAGTAAAACTGCAACAAAAAAATGTGGCAAAGAAATTAACTTTATGTCCTAAGTACCTCTCTTCATATTTTCAAGAATGGTGATGGCTGCATCATGTTATGGGTATGCTTGTCATCGGCAAGGTCTAGGGAGGTTTTTTAAAATATAAAATTAAATGTAATAGAGCTAAGCACAGGCAAAATCCTAGATGAAAACCTGGTTCAGTCAGCTTACCAACAGACTGGGAGACAAATTCACCTTTCAGCAGGTCAATAACCTAAAATATACACTGGAGTTGCTTACCAAAACAACATTGAATGTTCCTGAGTGGCTTTGTTACAGTTTTGACTTAAATCGGCTTGAAAATCTATGGCTGTCTAGCAATGGTCAACAACCAACTTGACAGAGCTTGAAGAATTTTTAAAAGGATAATGTGCAAATATGGTGCAATCCAGGTGTGCAAAGCTCCTAGAGACTTACCCAGAAAGACTCACAGCTTTAATCACTGCCAAAAGTGATTATACGATGTATTGACTCAGGGGTGTCAATACTTAGGCCTATGTGAATTAGATATTTCTGTGTTTAATTTTCAATACATGTTCAATAATGTCTAAAAACATGTTTTCACTTTGTCATTATAGGGTATTGTGTGTAGATGGGTGGGATTTTTTGAATTCAGGCTGTAATACAACAAAATGTGGAATAAATCAAGGGGTATGAATACTTTCTGCATGGTGAAAATATGATAATGCAAACCTGTATGAAAATGTCATTTAATCAATGCATGAAATGCGTTAGTAGGCCTATAATCACTTATTTCAATTAAAATACATCAACCGCAAGCCAAGGTGGGGTAATACTGTATTTAATAGTTTACACTATTAAGTCAAAAGAAACCCTTTTGCCGTAACATTGTATTCGCAATGCCGTGACCCGGATTCGAACCGAGGTTGCTGCGGCCACAACGCAGAGCACTAAACACTATAAGATCACGGCGAGCTACTAGAGGTGGATCCTAGTTGAGAGATACTGGGAATTTAACTCGAGCCTGCAGTGACGTCGACACGCATGCAAATATCGGCAGCTGTTCGAGTCTAAGTTCAAATGATTCTGTCTTGATATTCTATTGTCTTCATAGTAGCATATCATTCTTAACACTATAGTAGGCATATATGCTATACAGTCTACCATCCTATATGCTATATATAGCCTATGCTGTATGGCCTACCAGTGAAGCATTCTTCTAGAGCAATTGTAATTTAGTTTAAAGGCCTGTGACAGTGAGTGATAGTCAGATTTCCAAACAATTCATATGCAGGTGAGGTCTATGATTAAACAAGTATGTTTACGCGCGTGGGTAGGCCTATGATAGGCCTATCTCGTCATTAAAGATATAGGGATTCTTTCAGATTAGTTAAACCTACAATATTGGAACCCATCATTGTTCAGAATATTGCATTTCGTTAGATTTGTATTTTATTGACATTATGAATATGACAAGATCCGTGCTATTGATCTTAAATCTGAATTGCAAAATGACTTCTATCAACAATTCGAATCTATACTCTTAGAAAAAAAGAACCCAAAACGGTTCTATTGCTTGCTTCATATATTATGGCACCCCTAAAGGTTCTATATAGAACCCTTTGTAGGGTTCTTTGATCAGAACTAAATATATAAGGTTCTATATAGAACCCTTGAGATCCATATAGGGTTCTATATGGAATCAATTTAGGTCCTATATAGAACCTTAAGGGGTGCTATATATGAAGCAAGCATATAACATTTTAGTCATTTAGCAGACGCTCTTATCCAGAGCGACTTACAGGAGCAATTAGGGTTAAGTGCCTTGCTTAAGGGCACATCGACAGATTTTTCACCTAGTCGGCTCGGGGATTAGAACCAGCGACCTTTCGGTTACTGGCACAACGCTCTTACCCACTAAGCTACCTGCCGCCCTAACCTTTTTGGTTCTATCCAAACAATCAAATATTCGTTTTGAAACATCAAACATTTGTATTTGTGTTGCTTGTTAATGTACAGAGTATGCTTGTTTTGCTTGCACGGAATTCCAATTGCGAGCTATCCCATCTCGATAGGCCTACAACTAAGGAGGTCAAAGCCCTACTCTCAGAATATTTGGACGAGTGAGAAATCGTCGGTGCTTCGTTTAATGGGCCCACCTATTAAGGTAATTTCGACAGTGTTTGTTGAATAAAGCTTTTATTCGTGCGGGATAAAGCTAGTCAAAGTCTACTAAATATCCCTCCTCATAAGTGGAAGAAAGGACGAATGTCCATGAGAGGAGAAATAGTCCTATTGGGGGAACATGGAACAGGTGTTCGGCTATACCAGCAGGGTTAGTGCTAACATGTCACATTATATGTTTTTTTCATTGTTTATGACTAGCCATTACATAGTTATGACACCGGTAAATAAAGCTTTTCCAATAAGGAGTCGACATTTTCGTGTAGCAGCCTATTAGAAAACACAATTAAAGCATGTTCATTTAATTGCAATGGACGAGGAATATTTTACTGAATATTTTTGTTTTCAACGTGGAATTTTAAGAGCACACTTTCTGTTTTGCATTTTGCAAGGGACATATAAAGGAAGGATATGAGGTTTTCATTCAATTTTTCATTCACTTTTTTTTTTGCGTTGTTTGCCTTTTTCATGACGTGAGTAGAAGGGAGCGAGCGGGCATTGACACATTTCTAACGGTATTTCCCCACCTCTCCCTCTCTTTAAGTAAATCCAGGAATAAAACTGTCTGTTGTCATAATAAAATGATAAATGAGTGCATTATTCGATCACGAAGCAGTTTCTGATTAATAGTACTTCCTACTGATTTGCACATTCTGGCGTTTAAACTATTTAAATATCGTGAACAAGCTATTTATATTACCTTGAACAGTATCCATTGGAGCGAGCTGATGTTAATTCAGTATGGTGCAAGTTGCTTTGTAGTGAGCTTGCTTAATGACATCTAATGCATGCGTTTTAGATGAAAACGTGTCTTGGCAAAAATATGTCAGTTATGTAAAATCCATTATGAACATTTGCATTTTCGCCATAAGGAATTCGTTTTAGACTTTACTTGTAGGCGAAATATCAAATTATTTTACTTGAATTAACAATTAAATTCAGAGTTGTTTTTGTTATAAATCATTTAAAGAATATCATATGGTCGTTGTATTTGAGCGTTTTTGGTAGTCAGACGACACCATTTTGTATACATCTGGCCCTTCATTGGACACTGTGTTAACAAACCTCCAAACGAGCTTCAATGGCATACAACACTCCTGTGGCCTCCAACTGCTCTTAAACGCTAGTAAAACTAAATGCATGCTCTTCAATCGAAAGCTGCTTGCACCCGCCTTGCACTGACTTAGAATATGTGGACAACTACAAATACCTAGGTGTCTGGTTAGACCGTAAACTCTCCTTCCAGACTCACATTAAGCATCTCCAATCCAAAGTTAAATCTAGAATCGGCTTCCGGTTTCGCAACAAAGCCTCCTTCACTCATGCTGCTAAACATGCCCTCGTAAAACTGACTATCCTACCGATCCTTGACTTCGGTGATGTCATTTACAAAATAGCTTCCAACACTCAACTCAGCAAATTGGATGTAGTCTATCACAGTGGCATCCGATTTGTCACCAAAGCCCCATATACTACTCACCATTGTGACCTGTACGCTCTCGTTGGCTGGCCCTCACTACATATTCGTCGCCAAACCCACTGGCTCCGGGTCATCTATAAATCACTTCTAGGCAAATCCCCGCCTTATCTTAGCTCATTGGTCACCATAGCAACACCCACCCGTAGTATGCGCTCCAGCAGGTATATCTCACTGGTCATCCCCAAAGCCAACACCTCCTTTGGCCACCATTCCTTCCAGTTCTCTGCTGCAAATGACTGGAACGAACTACAAACATCTCTGAAGCTGGAGACACTTATCTCCCTCATTAACTTTAAGCATCAGTTGTCAGAGCAGTTTACCGATCACTGTACCTGTACACAGCCCATCTGTAATTAGCCCACCCAACTACCTCATCCCCATTTTGTTACATTTACATTTTAGTCATTTAGCAGACACTCTTATCCAGAGCAACATACAGTTAGCGAGTGCATACATTTTCATACTGGCCCCCTGTGGGAATCGAACCCACAACCCTGGCGTTGCAAATGCCATGCTCTACCAACTGAGCTAGACTTGTTATTTACGTTCTTA